CAAGAAGATCAGGGGTATGGCAGAAAGACAGCTGTAAGAAGGAGTCAAGGAGTAGCAGTAGAAAGGCTGCAGAAAGAGTCAAGGAGTAGCAGTAGAAAGGCTGCAGAAAGAGTCAGGAGCCCAGAGGAGGGGGCAAAGGAGGTGAGGGGGTGGGGACAGAAAGAGGAGACGAAAGCAGACGAAAGAATATTGCTAGAGAGCAGGAAAGAAGGTGAAAGGAGACAATTTTAGAGAAGAAATATTTTCGGTCGCTACCTGGATTCGAACCCGGGACCTTTGAATGAGAGGCCAACACCTTAACCTCTAGGCCACGAGAGCCCCGAGAACCACTGAAGGTACATCCTGCACTTTCCTCTGTTGTCTCGTGCAAGTAGCAATATATTTTTGAGCGGGAGTTTCCTAGGATCACGTGCACTTATCTCGTGAATTAACCTTATTTTCGACCCATAACCCGTCGGAACTGTCAACAAGAATGAGTTATAAAATAAATCTTTGACCATGCCCAAACTATCTTGCTGCCTAACTTCATCGAACCAGACGAACCTTATCGTGCCTTTAAGGTATTGCACTGATTCTTGCATGTCGTTAAAACATTTGACTTTCCTCTACAGTAGCTGACATAAAAAACAGTACCACAGAATGTCATTAAATTGAACTAGTTTAGTCATGTAGGCCCGCCTCCAATGTGGTCGTAGAATCACCTTCCCGGGGCACTGGCAGGGCAAGGACTTATCCCTCAACATGTAATGTAATGTTACGAGCCGTGAGATCACAAGTGTAGGGGCAGTATAAGACCTGGCGGTAATCACACTTAATCCTAAAGGCACTGATCCCCAATCCGAGTCGAGCTCTTTTTGTTCTTATACATTATGTACCTTCACATTACTACCTCTCACTCTCAGACTCCGCTATTGATTGACCTCTAATTACCCCTGCTGTTCTTAAACAATGGGAGGTCTTTCGGATCAACAGTGTCGCCGAAGGCGTGAGGAGAGTGTGTGTGGGAGTTAGGGGGGGGTAGTGTCGCTGCTTGTACGTGTACAAAACCTGTAAGTTTCACTAGTAATGTGGGAGCTGACTCCGTGCTGACCATAGATTTGTGCATGAATTATTATTACATCCAAGACTGTGCCCTCTGAGGTAATCCTGGTTCACTATGGAGCGCACCATTTGGCACTTTTAGGAATCAAATGATTGGTTAGGACGGAAAGGTTCAACGCGCACTTGACTTTAGTTAAGCCGTTCTTTTTTCCTTCATTTTCTTGCCCATAGTACAAGGTGCAAGCAAGCAGTTTTTATAGAGAGCAAAGGGCGGCGGGAATGACATTGGAAGATCTAAGATATAATTGTTCAAGTCTATAATATAAGCAAGTTGACAAGACAAGTGTGAATCTAATACTTGTACCTAATTAATACACTGCAGTCAACGGGCACATGGACAGGACCGCCCTCTCCCCCTCCCACTAAATGTTGAACGTCACACTACTCATCTGATGGATTTCAGGGATTAGTGAAGATTCAACGCATCATACAAATGCCAATAATCAAAGTGCTTACAATAATAAAGAAACTTTCAGTCGTTGCCATGGTACTGGCTCTCATGACCTCATACGTGAACCATATTACATGTAATACATTCTACTCAACGGGCACGTGGAACAAAAAGGGGGGGGGGGGCACAGTACTAAATAGTGAACAACAACCCACTCATCTGGATTAAGGAAAACAGTGAAGATTTAGCGCCTCAATAACAAAAGTAGACCTATTTATAGTTATAATGAAAGTTTCAGGAGTTGCCATGGTAGTAACTCTCATATTGAAACAACATGGCTGACACGTTCGTACGTAAGTTCTGTGCCATGGTAGTAACTCTCATATTGAAACAACATGGCTGACACGCTCGTACGCAAGTTCTATGCCATGGTAGTAACTCTCATATTGAAACAACATGGCTGACACGTTCGTACGCAAGTTCTGTGCCATGGTAGTAACTCTCATATTGAAACAGCATGGCTGACACGCTCGTACGCAAGTTCTGTGCTTGACGACCTACACGAGCATTTGTTGACTATAGAGACAGATTGGCCTACTGCGTATTAGTACACTTATCAACGAGACGAGAATATTTTTACATCTTGAAGCACGTTCAATTGAATTTTAATTAATTATGTTATTTCAGTTTATTGTGTTATTACCAGGAGGATGGGGAGGAAGAAGGGGGGTGGGAGGAGATTGAGAGAGACACGGGGAGGCATGGAGGAGGGAAAGGAGGAGGAGGAGGAGGAGGAGG